CCACAGGTCCTGCCAGGAGCCTGCTCCAGTGCAGGCTTCCCACGGGGTCACAGCTTCCTTCAGGTATCCACCTACTCTGGCGTGGGGGCCCTCCATGGGGTGTAGGCAGTCACCTGCTCCACTGCCCACAGGCTGCAGGGGGACAGCCTGCCTCACCATGGTCTTCACCCCAGGCCACAGGGGAATCATCCCCCTCCTTCTGCACTGACCTTGGTGTCTGCAGAATGTTGCTCTCACATATGCTCACTCCTCTCACTCGCTGCAATTACTGCTGCTCAACAACTTTTTCCCTTTCTTAAATATGTTATCACAGAGGTGAAAAAACACTGTCTCTGATTGGCTTGGCCTTGGCCAGCGGCGGGTCTGTCTTAAAGCCAGCTGTCATTGGCTGTATCTGACATAGGGGAAACTTCTATCAGCTTCTCACAGAAGCCACCCCTGTAATGCTCCCCGCTACCAAAACCTTGCCACGCAGACCCGTTAGACGCAGCTACGTGGCAGTGAAGAGCTTGACCATTGAGTTCCTCCATTAGATGCTACGGGGCTTACTCAAGCCAACACGACACTTAACTGTCTTCAGAAAAGAAGAAGAAAGTTCGAGAGTTACAATCTACTTGTGACAGAGTTTGAAGAAATTATTTAATTCAAAAGGTTCGTTTGAGTTTGATGTGTTTTTTTCCAAGTTTTACACTCTCAACAAACACCCGAGGTTGAAGCTCGTGTTAACAGTGTTTAGGAGCCTATTTTTTGAAGACTATTTTTCAGTAGCATTCTTCATCTCCAAAATTGGGTAGGTCTTTAAAAATAAACTTCATAGGAATACAGTGAAAAGGAAATATGCAGAAGCATAAAAATAGACTCAGGAGTCCAATAACAAACTATAAATCATTCATTTCCATCACACGCTGTCTTGCAACATTTCTGCTTTTACTAAAGAAAGGAGTTCAGAACATTTAGGGACAGGTTCATTCCTTCTAACCTGAAAGCATTTTAACTTGCTCACAAGACAAGGAAATCACAGGAGACAAACCACAGTGTAAGTATCTGTCTTGGCTTAGACAGACTCCAGTACTATATCACTGTGCCTGACAGAAGGGATGAGTGAGGCTGTCCCAAGTCCCTTGTGAACTCAAGGCAGATCTCGAACAAGCTTGGGAACTACTCATGGGATGACTATGGCAGAACTGCACTCCTCCTTAGAGAAACACATGAAGTTTGTATCAGAAAGTTATAGGCAACAAGAAGAAAGAGTTGAAATAGGGTGAGGAGGGGAAGAAGGGTAAAAAGAGGTCGAATAATACCATGGCTAAAACCAAATCAAGTGATAGAGGAGCACACACTGCATCTGCAGGCACTACATGCTCACTCCTGCCACTCCCAGTCCAGTAAATCAGCTTGACACCAGGATTTTTCTTTGGAATGAACACAGTTCAGATTACTTATCTAGCCTCTGAAATTCATTTAACACTTACTATAATCAATATATTGATCAGTCACACCCATTGTGTGGCTTCAAAAAAGTGAATGTAATTACACAAGAGAATAACTTAGAAAAGCATATAGTCCACGTTTGCTACAGTAAAAATGTATTCGTTGTGGTGAAGAAATACATAATATGAATAAACACATCCCAAATAATTTGATTATAATGATAGAAGTTGCCTTTGATCCAAGAAAACTGGAAAAGTGTTTTTGACTGGAAAGAAAAAAACAACCCACCACCAAGAATTCTAATTAGCATGAGTAATATATGAACTGATTCAAGATAGAAAACACACTTTAATTCTATGGTCAGAAACTGGTTAAACACATACCTGCCAAAAAAGGACTTCCAATTATGTGCAATTTTATCTTTACTATTAATATGCCTAATTTCTAGTACTATCAGATAGTAAAATCCTCGTGTTCTACAGTTTCATGGCCCAACTTGCTCCCTCCTAGAACCCCTCTAGGACAATCCCACCACTTCACTGGAGAAAAAATAAATTAATTAAAAAAAAATTAATTGCATCTAACCATCCAGTGAATAATGCAGAATCAACAGCCCATAAAAGTGAAACCCTCTTTTAAAAGAATAGTATCACCTTGTTTATTTTCCTTAACAGCCTCAATTGCTTTGAATTTTTCTTGTTTTCAAGGGACCTATACAGATGGAACCTTCAACTATGAACAGCCACCAATATGCCATTTCAAGGCAGGCAAAAGTACAGGGCTAACAGGCATAAGAGAGTGATCTCCCCCTCCAATTAGTAGAAGATCCAAAGCAGGTTGCAAATGGTGAGATACATACCAGAAAGAACTGTAGGATTTAGGTATTCAGGTATCTTCTTTCCCAATTTACACACACTTCTTCCTTGGGCTAAGTGAAAGTTTTTAATTTTGGGACACCGGCAGATTTACCAGATTAGGCAAAGTTTGTTTGAAAAAAGTTTCAAGTTTAAAATAAAAATTTTCCTTGACCTCTGACAATCATATTGCTAACAACAGAATTTCTAGCACAATGGTGGCAATGTAGTACAGACTTTTTTTAAACACTAGCTAGGTTAAGGAATCAAAGCCTATCATTTAGCTATGGAGATGAAACATGTAGTCCTTATGTTAAGAAACAATGCTTACAGATTACGTGCTACAGTCAGGCTATTGTCCTGCATTCTTTGTGCACCACCATCTCACAGGAAGGCTGAGATTCTACTGTCTTCAGTAAATCAGCACTGATTAGACAGCATATGTGCAGAAAAAAATATACCAGATTCCTAATAAGGTATCAGAAAAGTCTAGATTAGCCTTTTATAAGCAAAACTAAAAATTTTAAGGAGAGGACTATATTACATGTCAGGTTGGAAAGCAGAGTCTAACAGCCATATTAGCTCCTGTTCTGCACAGCAGGAGACCAGAAGAGAAGTCACCCTGTAGTCATGGAAAGGACTGAGCAATAGCTAAGCCCTTACAACAGTACCTGTGGGCTCACCCTGTACGCCTGTCATGGAAGAGCAAAGACTCAAGTCTTAGCATAGGCATAATTGGAGAAAACGCTATAAAAAATAGCAGTTCAAGGTACAATCAACATTATCACTCACTCACATACTCGTAACATTAACGCGTAACCCTTCAAAAAAGCAGATTGCTCCCTTGAGTGCTTTCAAAATCCCCAAACCTGAAAGCACACTACCACATTTATCACAGAGGTATTAATGAAGCAGTGGAATAGAACTGTTCACATCTCATTTTACCTAGCTTTTGAATTAGGTGAAGTTGTGTGTTCTCTGTTGTTGCTGTCGGTAAAAAGAAAAGACAGGAAAAAAAAAAAAAAAACAGAAAGAGAAGTTTCTCCAAAACACGTGTAAATAGCTAGGCATGATACCAGACTGACTTACAGCAATTCTGACCATGAATCAAAAGAATTTTGTTAAGCCTTCATCATTGCTACCTGAGAAAGCTTTCCTTTTGTTTTAATCAAATCTGATAAAGAAATCTAGGAGGAAACCATTCTTAGATAATTTATTTTCATATGGACCCAAGCAAAACCTGACTATCATCAAAAGCAGTATTTATTAACATTCCCCAGGAGTGCCTACAATACTATACTAAACTGCATGCTGTACAATCAAGAAGCTTAGCATAAACTAATGGCACTATTACCTCTATGTACAAGGCGAACTACATGCTACTATAAACATACTTTTTCTTGTTCCCATCTCTTACTAGCAGCCAGTGGAGTGATGAGTAACAAACATTTCAGGAGCACATCTATTCTTTTAAGTAAAAATGGGAGCTACAGATCAACACAGCCAGCAGACTGAAAACAGTAATGATCTACAGTAGAAAAGCAAAGAAGAGGAAGAAAAATGGAAGTGGGTGGACAGCAGCTGAGCAGCGATAGCAAATGGAAGGGGTGGGAAGGCAAAAAGAGCACATGAATAGCAAAGGAGACAAATGAGATGTGAAAAGAGAAGACAAAATTACTAAGAGTTAGTCTAAAACAGTGGTTCTTAAATCATGGCTCAGCCAAAGGAAATTACAAAGTCAGCCTGACAGGAAGAGTAAATTACAATGCTGCTGTCAGCATCTTCTTGAGTGGTGTTGTCAACAGTCAGCCATGGCTGGGAATTACTGGCCTAATGCATGGCCGGTGCAAGTGCTGTGATGACTTTGTAACCTAGGTGTCTCATGAACAGAAGGAGTGATGCAGCAGAGAGCAAGCGTATGGGAATGAGAAAAGGGAGGAAAGGAGAATCAATGGTGAGCTCAACTGGAAATGAGATTGAGCCTTTATTAACAGGTCCGCACACTAAGATAGCTACCACACAAGTCACACTTAATCCAAAGCACTATGAAAGCTGGAAAGTGTTTTGTTAAACAGAGCCCCCAAAAATTTTCAGGAGTTAAGGGGAGCTCCGGTGCAAAGATATGCAAATTACATAAAAATGAAATCTACAGTGGACACAAAGGTTTCATCCAGCATGCATCAAAAATTCCTGAAATTGTAACTAATGAAGAAATAAAAATCTAGATAGGCAATACATGCAATGAAAGGAGAACTGTAATGCCTAGGGAAGTGTTGCAAGGTACAACGGCAATGCATTAGCTTATTTTAATTCATTAAAGACATTAGCCATATAAGATAACATGCTGCCCTTATAATCTGTAATACCTTGGTCTGGACAATCAGTCCAATCAGAATCAATGCGCATAGTGAAAGTAAGTTTCTTAAAGATACCTATCCTAACCTACCTTCACCAAAACACAACTAACATAGAAGACACTGCAAGTATGGTTGGACACAACCTCCTGCTCTCCCTTGGGTTAATCCAATAATGCAGGTAAGAATTAAATCACATTTTACATGTTTTTATCATTGAATATAGTGTAGCATTAGCCTTACATTAGGCTGACTTACACTGCACCAACTAGCACATAGAGAACCTGGGAGGAAGTCAAAGGCCTGGTTTTACTGAGAAACATTACCAAAAAGAAAATGTTTGTGTAATCTGAAAACGTACCATGAGTATCTCCTCTGTACTTCTTTCTCTTTGTACTGGAGCAACCGGAAATTCAAGAAGGGATTTTACCGTCTTCCTTTTGGCCTTTTCCATTTGAATATTAGTAAAATAGTTGACAGCAGCAAACTCAATGAGAGCAGAGAACACAAAAGCAAAGCAGACTGCTATGAACCAGTCCATGGCAGTAGCATAGGATACTTTTGGCAGCGAATGTCTTGCACTGATGCTCAGTGTCGTCATTGTCAACACTGTCGTTATTCCTTCAAAGAAACAAAGCAAAACATTACTGAATCCAAGTAAAACAAAGTGAGAATACGCAAGCGGCTTAAACAAAGAATTTTAAATCACTTAGGAGCCTTTCTATGTTGCTTGTGAATAGAGCATTACATCTACTTCATGGCAACCATCATATATCTATGAGCAGCTATGCACACAGAACAGTTAACCAGTTTTTAAAGGAGGCATGGAAAGCCATGACCATGACCAAGCACACCACCCACAGTTCACATGAAGAAAACATGGAAGCCTTAATTTCACATTTTTTTCACTTCAAGTTCAGTAGAACTTCTTACAACAATTAGTTTCTAAATATTTGAACATAATTTAAGTTGTTAAATAGGGGAGTGCTCCTCAGACTGCCACAAAAACAAGTAATGGGTTCAGAATGCCACTTATTAGTCTGTGCTTGTTTGTCTGATCCTCCTCGTAATCCAGGTGCCATTAAGTCATGGCAAATTACCTTTGTGCTAAGGAAAACTAGAATATTATGTTAACAACTCTATTAATTAAGAAACCATCACCTTATCTTTTAAACCCTTCTGCTACTAGTCAACCGATAAAATTTAATTAGAATTTCATCTTCTGAAAGAGCAACTTTTTAATTAAAGTCTACAAGCATGAACATTGAACTCAAAATATGACCACTTCATGGTAATACTTCAAATACAAATCCATGCTGTATAAAACGAAGGCATGGGGTGGTCTTTGCTTTTTCATCCAAAATATTCCGTATCATACAAATGTAAAATACCGAGTATATAGTGAACACTCTGTAAGTCCTACCATGATGACCTCAAGGAAGACTGACTACAAATGGAGATGTGTTTACTCTTATGAAAAGAACACTGTACCCATTTTAATTCAAGATTAAATGCATAAGCTTAATAGAATTCAAAATAATTAAGAGCATGTTTTCCAACAGCATCCTCACATCCCCTATTCCCTAAATGGTGGCGTTCCATCTGGGTAATCTGATATGAAAAAGCTTCGCCTAGACACTGCCACACAGAGAACTGGGCACAACAAATTTTTTCTTCTTCCTATTGAAGAAGAAAAAAAAGAATAATAGCCAGTTTATGAAAGCACAAACAACAGTTCAGAGCAAACTCAGCAGGATAGAAACACAGGTGCAAGCTCACAAAACCTTCTTCAGTGGGAAGGTGTTGAAAAACATACCAGTGAAAATGTTTAAGTCTGAGAAAAGAAAAACTTATGGAAAGTTATTTTTTTCCTGGAAGAGACCTGTCCCTGCTTAGCCCTATTCTTCCTGATTCTACCTTTGTCCACTTCAAGCAAATAGTTTGTCTGAACTGCCTTTCTAAAGATGTTTGTATACTAGATGTAAGAATAGAGGGAAGAGATATCAATGAGCAGCCATTCCTCAAACAAAAGGAGGAGAGGGGAGGCCATGACAGTATTATAGTTTACTGCCAGAGTCTTTGTATCAGATTTCCCCCTATTAAATCATTCTTCTCAGAGACTTGCAGTTGACACTGCAACTGCCCTTGGATATGTGCCATAGGGATTTACGGGGTAGGGAATTAAGTTCTGGTAAAAAATATTATATATACATATGAACTGTGTATTAAATATACACACGAACTGTATATTATCCAGAGCTAAATACTTGCAATTTTCTGATTAGAAATGCATATAACCATATAAAAATATATTAAGAGTGTTTTAATATAAAAATTAATGTTAAAAACCTGTTTTAAAATCACTATCTTTCCTTTAAGAAGCACCAGTTTCCCACAGTCATAGATTCAGGTGTCTGAAGCTTCGGCTCCAGAAATCACAACCTGATGTACCTTAGTTCCTTGGGTATCCTTCCTCTGTTAACTTTGCCAAGTTCTCCCTAATCATGCAGTGTCCAATCAAAAGAACTTTTGCTTAGCTTCTGACAGTTCCTCTAGAAATCTGGTACCATAGCAAGTATTCTCACCTCATTCCTATCTCTTGCCTGCAACATTTCTATCTTCTTTTAAGAAAACCTTTAGAAAATAGGGTCCCTGTTGGAATTCGTCAGAAAACTAAAAAGATACTTTTAACTGTACTTTAAGCCACTTGCTTTCAAAGGCATTTTAGAGACTTATCTGTAACTTAGTGGATGTCCGAAGTTTATTATTATTATTTGTTTTCAGTTTCACATACAGATATAATGACACCTATTACACCTTTTCCTCTATAATTTGTACATTTTCAATTCTCACATTTTGTCTGTAAATACACTCTACCTTTCCAGTTCACAGCAATATTCCCTTCAAAAAAAGTACCATTATGTAACATCACTGCAAAGGCATGTGAAGGGATATACTAGTTTGCCTAATGCAATGCTTGAGTTGAGAGCTAGTAGGGTTCTTATTAGGTTTACAGGTTGTTTCTCCTATAACTAATCATTAACCTTGTCTAATTTGTGATATTAAACAGTGTTCTGACTCCACTTACATGTTTGAATGGGCCGTCACATAGAGACATTAATTCCTGTCACTCTTGCCAGCATCTATCTATCTATAGAAAGGCTTTTTGTAGAGCATTCTCTTCCTGATTAGTCCTGCTTTAGAGTACAGTACATTATAAAGTCAAGACATTGCTCTATAAAGACTGCTTTTAAAAACATTTCCATCCTACTTCGTTAGGAATCATATTTCCATTTAATTTCTTATGTTTTGTCTTCCACAGAAGTTTTTTTGGGTTTTATTTTCAGATTTCAACATAGCATCTCATTCAAGCTGTATTTTGATGAGAACAATTTTAATATTTTGCAATTATTTTTTAATGATTATTTTAAATTCATTTTCATAATGGCAATGGCAGAAAGGAAAGAAGAGCACTAAACATGAAATTACAGTAACAGGATCTAAGCCTTAGTCATAGCAAGCTTCCACTGATGACACAGATATCTCATAAGAAGACAACTGTACACCTTGCACGCTCCAAATCAAATTAGTATAAAAGTATTTTAGAAAGTGTGAGTTCAAGTAATTACACTACAGTCCACTGGAGGATAAAAACTGCTCCGGATGTAGACTGGGGAGCTGACTGTATTACTCAGGTCTTCCCAGTTTGCTCCCCCAAGTAGGCAGAATCCCCAGAGATGTACACCGATTTGCCACAGGCAACCGATATATAACCTTCAGGTTATATATTCCCAGTTTGTCTACAGATTCCAAAGATACACATAACACCATTCTTCATACATTGATAGCAAAAATTCCTCTGAATTTACAGTATTCCCTTGTTTCTGCACTAGAATGGAGGCCGTATACCCCAATGCAGTAAAAAGGCTTATTCTAGTGAAAGCCTTAAGTATGAGAAAAAGTAAAAAAGAAATAATTACCAAACACAGTTCTAGCTGGAACAGATTCCTTATTTATCCAAAATGAAACTTGAGAAAGGATCACGGTCATAATGCATGGGATGTAGGTCTGAATCATAAAATAACCCATTTTCCGTCTGAGGTGGAAGTAAACTGTCATAACAATATATTCACCTAAAAAAAAAAAAAAGAAAAGAAAATATTTTCCTGACTGCACATAAAATTCATGTTGCAGAATAACTGTTTCAGATTATCAACAAGGATTGTTTAAGATGATGCTATTCACACCACATAATGTGCATAGAAAGATATATTCCTTAGAGACAAGAACGAATGAAACTTTTAAACAAAAAATCCTAGAAGTAATAGGTCCTTACAGTGCCATTCAGAAGCTGACATTAAAAATACTATAAATGTACAGCTGATACTAGATTACACTTTACATTATAATTATGATTTTAAAAATTATTTTGGCAGCTGTTGAAGAAAAGAGTCCCAAGACACAAGGTATCTACCTACCATAGTATCCATAACATTGTGGTACCATAACATTGTGGTACCTACCTGCCAAATAAAACAATAATAACGATGCACATTAAATGTTATGGAAGCATCTCAGCTTTTTACTAGGTTTGTATGTCAGCACCACTATGATAATGAAACAAATTGAAAAATCATTGACAAGAATTAAAACCACTAAGTTTATCTAAAATGTTATCATTCATATTAAACAAAACAAAAAAAAATGCAGTTTTACCATAAACTGAATAAACTGTCTAAATAAAGCACTACAAAATGAGCATTTTGGGGACAGTAAGGAAATTCTGTTGTTAACTCATAATAATCAATACGCTGAGAAGTAAATTTCTAGTGTTTTGCAAAATGCTGTTTTATCTTTGAGAAAAATATCCATAAAGCAATACATCAAATATATTTGCTTTATCTTGCAACACGCAAACTTGCTGATGCTTAGAAAATGATTCCAAATTTTAAAAATATTTTGGGAATATGCTTGTTTATCACCACACTGCTCATCAGTGATACTGCACTCATTTCAGATGCCTGTAGTTGCCATTTGCTTTATTTCTTACAGCACAAATCAGCAGAAGTATCTATTGTGACTAATACATTTGTGCCTATCCTTATCTGACTAGAGGGTTTTTATGGCTTTAATAACCCATTCTGTATGCTGTACTTCTATCCTGAGCTGTTTGCACCACCAAACAAAGGAAGTCTTTTGCACATAATGTGGATACAGTGCTGAGAAATTACTTCCTCACCCAGGCATCCTCTTGACTCTTCAAACTGCATTTTAAGCAGTGATTAAATGCTCATTTTGTCCCTCGGAGTAATGATCTCATTCTAGCTTTCTAAAAGACCGTCGCAATCTACTGTAATGAATCTGCAAATGTAAATCTGAAGGACAGAAACCTAATTCAGATTTATGCTCTCAGCCCTTAATATATACCCTATGACATTCAGTAGAATACCTTACAGGAAGGAAAGAAAAAAGCCTGGGGCAATGTTACAGGGTTAGTTTTACCTCAAGTCGATTTTTACTGACAAGATTCCTACCTGTAATAGATTTAATGGTTTCAGTGGATACCGTATGCCCAAGCAGGTCATACTGAACTAAACTGGAAGACTCCTCAGGAACTTCCACTGATTTCTCAGGTCCTTTTGTCCAGGTATAAATCATTTCACTCTTTGGATAAGCATCTACAACACAGCATCAGTTCACATAAATAGGAAACTTCTCACACCTTACTAAGAGCCCAATCCAAACCTACTGAAATTGAACAGCAAGACTCACACTAACAAATTCAGAAGATAACCTTCATGTTAAGTTAGCCCCAAAAGCCACCCTCAGAGGAGAACAAATAGTAGCTAAGGTCATATGTCAAGTGCACATACAAATTCACTTCACATTTGAATGTTAAGTCTAAACATGAGTTCTTTGTGGATCAGCCCTTACTGCGCATGTGAAGTTTAAATTATTTTAGAAATTTCTATCTAAAATATTATTATTAAAATATACTAGTATATAAAAAAGAACATGTATAACAATAATAGTTTTTGGAAACTGGGTGCACATTTATTTACAATAAAGAATGATTATACTAAAAACTATACTATACTAACAACTATAATATTTTAAACTTGTGTTTAAAATATTTTCCAGAAACTAGAAGTCAGTAAAAAATTCACAATAGCCCAAAAATAAGCACAACCAAAGAAACATTTTACATTCAATACAAAAGACATAACTTAGGGCTAGCATTCAATCCCTACACAGTCCAAACTCCTGTTAAAATTAAATTAAATCAGTCTTGCATTTCAAATGGCTACAACTTATTTCAAGTTTCACTGAGGAAAATATCAGATTAGTGCCAAGTACAATTTCTGCTGGTTGATGATTCTGCCTGAAGAAATACGCCTGTGGAGAAGCCCCCACTACTGAAGCTCCCCTATCATACAGCTGATACCAAAGCCAAATCTGGCAGCACCTGGTCGCCAGTCTCACCATAACAGGGATGAAAAACCTTATCAGAGCACTGTCTTTGATGTCCCCCTTTTGGCTGACTACCTAGCTAGATAAGCTAAACTTATGCTAAAGAAAGACTGTGAGGAGCTTCCACCCACTTATAACTTCAGAGCTCTGGGGTCAAGGAAAACAGTTTAATGTCCAGCCACTGACTACATCGGAGAGTGAAGCAGAGAAGTCAGTGACTGAGGAGGCCTGGAAGATCGACAAGATAGTTACTGGAGTGCACCAACCATTCACAGGTGGTCTCAGAGGTCTCTGCTGTGGATTCAAATCAGGGAATCATAACTACCTCCCTCAGTTGTTACGCAGTCCCCAAATGCTCCTTCCAGCCAAAGCCTGGAGATGATCCAAAAATCTATGTCTGACTTCAAAGCAGAAAAGGAAAGTCACCTGCACTAGGATTCCTCTTACCAGTCTAAAAATTACTTATCTAGTCTCGATTTGCTATGCAGACTCCCCTTATAGGCCAGGAGATAGAAAAATACAACTGAAAATCAAATCTCTGCACATAACCTACACAGCTATCTTAGGATGTCAATATGCCTCCACTAACTGTACAGAGAAAGTTAAGTAGCTTGTTTCCCTAGATGCCTTTTACCTGGCTGTGGTAAATTAAAATGGATCCCACTCTGTCTTCTCCACAGAATCTCTCACTTCACTGAGTATCCAATTCCTCCCTAAGAACCAAGAAAAACTACATATTTCCAGCAACTGTGTAGCCAGAATGGTGGGGTTTAACATAATAGCTGAATCACTGTGTGCTTTTCAGTTCTCTGCCTAGGTTTAATTTTTGAGGCCTTAAAAATTTGCAAGGAAGTTAACAGGAGTTTTGTCTGCATAAGGATTGTGTATCAAGACTAATATTCAGAGTTTAGTAATTGCTCAAAATCTACTTCTACTACTTAAATTCTGTAGTTACAAGAAATTTCATAATTGCAACTTACAACTCCCAAATTTGAGAGGACAAGCATGACCATCCATGGGAAAATCCACTAATCTCATGGGACACTCTGCACTTATTGTAAGCCTATAATGGAACAAATTAAATAGTCTCTGGTTGCCATTTTGTCTAGGCAGTATAACTTTTGCATATAGTAATTGTAAGAAGCCAGACAAACACGTTAGATACCTCATTGTGTACAGGATTGTGCCATTTCTCATTATTCTGAACAGTTTATTTGGGGCTGTCATATTATGTGCAACAGACTTTTTCCCATTCCTGAAGAAAGTGTCAGGTGTCCACACCTTTGAAACCATCAAGTTGTTAAGTCTTAAAATTTCAATAGGGCCATCATACTTTAATCTTTTGTCTACCCATGTCTGACGGAAGAAGACATCCATTGTATATTCCTGTATTAAATTGCAGAAAAACAAAGATCACATTTGCATGTGTTTCCTGTAAAAAAAAAAAATCCTTCAGGAGCAAAGAAATCAGTAGTAAAGAAAATGCTAAGTCCACTACACAAACATATTTCCACCAATTAGAGTGTGTTGTGTACTTCTTAATAGCTTAATTTCTCACATTATTCACATCAATAAATCACTACACATATTTAATCATTAAGGAATAATTAATCTAATTAGGTTGAAGGAAGCAACTACATTTGTAGTCAGGCATATAACTGGAAACAAAATGATCTCTGACAGTAAGTGTCAACAGATTTTTAAAGAAAAGATATCAATGGATTTTCTGCTGCTGGCTAAATTAAAAATACCAGGACAAAGAATTACTACCATTTTAAAGTTAGGAAAGAAAATTTAATTTCAACTCACGGACAGTAAGCTTTTACCTGAGGAAAACGAAATATTTCCTATGCCCACAAAACACATATCAGAAATTATATACAGACTTGCATATGTACACATTTGTTTTTAACTATGTAACTATCCCATTAACTTCCTCAGAAAAGCCATTCAGATGCTCTAAAGAAAACATGCAAACAACAACTGCAGAACTGCAGACACAGGCACATCATGAGAATGAACGGACAAAGGAATGCATTTATCATCCTGGGAAGCTAAAGGATTTAATAAAAAAAGCATCATGTGGCTTTGAAAAAGTTAACACAGAAAGCTTTTCTAATTTACAGTTGTGACTTTGTTGTTAAGCCAAACAATATTTCCTGACTTTATTTCAATAAACTCTTCTGCATAATGTTACAATTGGAACTACTTGTATGGTCATATCTACTTACATTGGCAAGGAGGCACATCTACTAATGTACAATGACAGAATAATTAGGTTGGAAAAGACCTCTAAGATCAAGTCCAACCATGTAGTGCATCTTAGAATTACATGTCGTCTTTTCCATGGCTGCATTCTCAACTGTAGTTTATAGTTAATCTATGAAAAGTCTCTTTTCTAGTGTCATTTTCTGCTGGTGACTTCACAGCTCATAAGTAGCAGTTTCTGTTACTAGCTTCTACATGACAAGATTCTGTAACATAAGATTTCAACCCTTTTCATTACACTGGGTACCAAAGTGACCCAGCTCTAAAAAGACATTCTGATCACTCCCTGTACTGAGACTACCTCATGCTTTTCTGATTCAGCAAGTTTTATGAGTGCAGCCACAAAACAATTCCTGGATCCCTGAATAGCGTTGTAACTAATCCCTAATGATAAAAGGGGAAATACCTGCCGTAAACTCTCCTTTTGCCAGTTCCTTACCTACCTTCAGTCCATGTTCTCACTCCTGCCTTCTCCAATATAACTAATAATTTCCCATGTGGCACCATGTCAAATGCTTCAATGAAACCTGAGAGATGTCATGCAGTCCTTATTTTAGATTTGAGGCACACATTATTAGATTTCCTTGGGGCCAGGTTCTTGTACCCCTTGTCACATTGAACAGCATCATAGTGTACATGACAACCATTGAAGGGGTAAGATGCATTTCAACATGAGACTGCCATCATGAATGTAGCCCTGGAAAACATATCTTGCTATCACATACCTTTCTCCATGATAGAACCAAATAGCATGCATGACAGCACTGTATAGGAAGAAAGTTACTGCCCTGAAACTGCCTTTCTCCTTAAAGAAGC